AAGAGGCAAAGTGCAAGCATGTATTGACTGTTCCTCTCTACTTTCTGAGGGAGGGAGGGACAGAGAGAGAGAGAGGAGAGAGAGAGAGAGAGAGAGATGATTGGCTAGTTGAAATTGGCAAGCACAAAGGAAAAGTCCAGAATTTTGGGTCCTTGCAGTGTTACAGCAATTGAGAGTTTACAGATTACAGACAACAGGAAATAAGACTGAAAAAGGCCTGTTAAGACTTACCAGGTCAACTCAGTTTTGAGGACAATACAGATGATGGATGTGATGTTGCTGTCCAAGTCTTGTTTTAGACAGCTTCAAGATGACTGCTAATAAACTGACAGGGAGATTGGCTTGAGGGCAAGGAAACAAACATGTAAACCCCCAGCCCTTCCTGTGTGCCCGCCACCCCCAGGCCTGGGCAGCCCTGTTCAGCACTTGCCGGCCTCTACTCCGCTGCAAGCTCGCAGCTCTGCTCAGCTCTGAACCCCATAATCCTGATGGATGCAGCGCCTGGCGTGTCCAAGGGGCTTGGAAGAGGTACTGTGAAATAACACATTTTATGGCAAGACAAGAAAAACTTAAATGTAAAAAAATCTTTGCCCTTTGGCCTCTTCTCTACCCTCTACTATGCACTGTGTCTCTGCATTAGAGACCAAACCTCTGCATTGACCAAACCTCCCAATCGGCAGAAATACCTGCTCAGCCATAAACAGCAACATTCCCCTAGAACCAACAAGACAACTCCTTAAAAGATAACGTTCTTTCTTAATCTTGCAAAGGGTCATGAGGACCCACCATTTTGTACCTGAAGATCTGGACTGTGTAAACTGTCAACAGTACATCATTTAACGTATAACCCTCTGTCTCCAAAAATTTATGTTAACTGTGCTCTGACTTCTAATGGGCAGAATAGCTCTTGGAGTTTTGTGAGAGGCTGTTCCCGGGTTATAATCCTCAATTTGTCTCAAATAAAATTTTCCATTTCTTTCTTAGATCGACGGATTTAATATTTCATCAGTAGTACCTAAAACAATTTAAATTTCATCGAAGAGGTGGCAAGGCTCTTTGTCCAAAGTTTGGCTGCATCTTGATCGTTTTCCCCTTCTCGTCCCGCTTTCTGCTGTTACCTGCTTCTGGAGGTTCCAGTTAAATGGGCTAAGCTGGGGTTGAGTGGGGAAGTGGGGGTGGGGTGTGGTGAGGGGTAGAGTGTGAGCGGTCGGGAAACCAACATCCCCCAGTAACCCTCTGGGACCGTGTCCCCGGTCAGCGGTTCTTTCTCCCGGGACCCCTCCCCGCCCTCCCCCGCCCCCCCCAAACAGAGCCACCTGGGCCCCCGGCATGTGGGGATCTGCCATCTCTGTGTGCACTCAGCCACTAGGGAAACCAAATCTCGCCTTGGCTCTGGGCATTTCACTGTTGACAGTTTCCAACATAAGACCCACGAAACTAAAATGTGTGAGAAGAAATCCAGTAAGAGAAAAGCGATCTAAGACACAAGCCTATTAAGTCAACCCAATATTATTAAACTTCCAAATTCAGGAACTGCCCTCCCTGCCTTCAGACCGCTTCTTGGAGGCAGAGTTGCTTCTTCTGTTTCTTTTTGAATCAGGCCGATGCTATTTCTGAGTGCTCACCTGCACATTCCCTGTGGGGTCGCCCTTTCTAGCTGCCGTCTCTTCCTACCCCTGCCCCGCCAGGTACCTCCCCTGGGAATGAGCTTCGCTCCACCCCACAGAGACACTCCTGCATCAGGTGCGGAACGATTTCAACAAGCCTCTGCTAAAACGTGATAGAAGAGTGACTGATCCTGCAGCCGCTGCGTGTCAGCAGAGGGTGATGCGCCGCCACGCTGGCTGCCCCTCCGCCGGCGTGGCGGGCGGGCACACGAGCGCCACTCCTCCACCGCCGGCTCGCCCGCAGCCATCACGCAGGCCCGCGCGCCCCTCACCATCGCCAGGCCTCGGGACGTCGCGTCCACACAGCACCTGACCTGGAACCGCGGCCCACAGTCAGGTTGGCACGTGTTTTGTTTTGTTTAATTTCATGTTACTTTCACATTTACAAACTCAGGAAGCCACACTGAGAAAGGGACGGAGGAGGCTGCCTGGAGGAAAAGCTGGGCTCCTGGGCCCTGTGCAGCCTGAGCGCTTGGGACTTTTCACAGGGAAACTCTCCCGTACCTCGAGGGGCCTCGCTGTCGGACGGCACCTGAAATGGTAGCCGTGGCCTGCTCCTCAGTGCCTGCAAGATGCGTTACTGTGCTGCCTCGGCCCAGGAGTTTATTGCTGGTGAACTTGATTATCCAACTTACAGTCCAGGATGACGGCATCATCAGAAATGGGTCCAGTGGTGCGCATTTTGCTGAGACGAAAGGAGACTGAAATGTGTAAGCTGCACAGAATGGGCAACACTGGCATGTTGCCCGTGTTTGCCTTTGGCCCCCAGGAGGGCCTGGCCTCAGGGGAGACAGGTGGAGACCCCTCCTCCCCGTGCCCATCCACACGGGACCATCAGAGACAAGAGGCAGTCAGTCACCAGGGCGGACGTGCCCAAGCCCAGGGCAGCCTGAGCTCCAGCACCCGGCCAGCTCTGCTTCTTCCCAGGCTCCCTTTAAGGTCCCCAGAGACGTTCCCTTTCTCAGGTGGGAAATGTGTACACTCCCCTCACTTTGCAAAATTGGATCTCTTGGGCTGAATGAGATCATCACTTGGCAGGCAGAGGTCTGGAAATCTGGCCCAGCAGCATACAGGCATGTATTCTGAATAGATGGACTACCGGAGAGTACCCTCGAGTCATCCCTGAACTTCTCAGGAACAGAAGTCATGGAAAGAAGGGTCTGCCTCTGTGACTATAGTGGTGACAAGATGAAACCCAGAGGTGTAATTACTCAGATTTGACCCTATCTCTCGGCCCCTGGGATGTGTGCAGACCACTGGCTCTTCCATCTCTCCTGAAAGTGCTGGGCACCATGTCTACAATCCCCTGGGGACAGGCATGACTGCCCCACCGTCTGGGGGAGCTGCAGGTGTCTGACAACCGAGGGAGGTGACTCGAGGCTGTATGATTTTTCCTCCCGTCTGTTCGACTGCAAATGTTTAGTCTCTTTCCCCGCTGAGGAGAGCAAAGGCCCGATGGCACTGGGGCTGGGGTGGGGGAGGGAGGCAGGGCCCACCGTGCACCTTCTGTCCAAACTAGGTCATAATGGTCAGGGTCCAGCTTCACTGGCCAAGGCACACCCAGGTCCATGGGAACTGAGGAGTGTTCAGGGGGAGTGTGACAGAGCAAAGTGTCATTTCTGTGATCAGATCTCCACCTGGTTAGCCTCTGGTCTAACAAAGATACTTGAACTCACAGTCCTACACATTAGTTTAGCAAAAAGTCTGGCTTCTGATACCCAAAGAGTTTAAAGTCCCCTTCAAAACGTGCATAGAGGCGCCGGATGTCTCGTTTGCTGACACCCAGAAAGTAGTGCTCGACTTTGGTTCTGTTATATGCGGTGATGCCCGGGGGGATGGTGGGGTAAGACACCAGGTGGTCTATGCCAGCCTCTTTCAAGATGTATGGGGCATCGTCCTCCAGGGTCTCGTGGTGACCGATGACGCTGTACTTGATCTCGCAGGGTGCGCACAGTTCCACGTATGTCACCCAGTGGATGATGTGGTCCCCAAACTGAAGGTCCAGCCACCTATGGTTCGGATCACCCAGGTAGCGCACAAAGTCTTCAAACTGGATGCCCCTGGTCTCCGTTCGGTTCCTCCTGTACTTCCTGATGATGCCAGGGGCAATCTCGTGCCTGTACCAAGGCTCAAAGCGGGGGTTGTGAACAAACTTATCCTTAAACGCAGAAATCAGTCTCTCAAAGGGATCTCTTACGATAAAAAACTTGAAGTATGTCTTCAAGCTAAGGGAAAAAAATGAAAATGAAGGAGTTAACCTGATGCTGCTGGTGGTGCTGGCTGTGGGTTGTGAGGAAGAGTGAAGCGTGATGGCTGGAGCAGTGGCAGCCACCAGGCTGAGCCCTGTGCCAAGCGCACTGCATGTGGCTCTTACTTAATCCGCACAGCCACCCTTGGAAGCAGATCCTGTTATGAACCCATTTTACAGGTTGAGGAAATGGAGGCTCAGAGACCTTAACTGTCCAAGACCACAGTACTCATCACACTCGGGGCTGCTGTGAAGACATCTATTTAACCCATGTTTTGTTTCACTTGAGTAGTTTGAAACTTCAGGAATGTTTGAAAGTTTTGTTCCTGTGCAGAAAACCGTTAAGGGCAGGAACCCTGAGTTAGGAACAGCTGAGGCCTGAGAATGACTCTAAGGGTACGTCTTTAAAAACTCAATTCAGGGCTTCCCGGGTGGCGCAGTGGTTGAGAGTCCACCTGCCGATGCAGGGGACACGGGTTCGTGCCCCGGTCCGGGAGGATCCCACATGCCACGGAGCGGCTGGGCCCATGAGCCATGGCCGCTGAGCCTGCGCGTCCGGAGCCTGTGCTCCACAATGGGAGAGGCCACAACAGTGAGAGGCCTGCATACAGCAAAAAAAAAAAAACTCAATTCAAAATTTCCGGGGGAAGGAAAATGGGGGGCAGAGTAGGGGGGGAAGAGGAAAGGCAGAGTGAGGTTCCAGTCTCCAGCTGGCAGAAGGGGGTCTGGGGGAGCTGCCAGTGGGGGGGTGGCAGCGCAGGGGTACCCCCGTAAAGGGCCTGTACTGACAGTGACAGAGCAACGACGACACTGCTGTGATTCCGTGCGCTCACCCAGGCCAGAGACCCTCTCAGCGCTGCAGGTCTCAGCGTGTTTACTCTCACAAAAGCCCTGCAGGATCGCTGCTGAGGGGGGTGACAGGACCGCCCTCCCCCAGGAGGGTCTCTGACCTGGCATTTGACATCTGCCTTCTAAGGCTGTACACGTTGGCAAGAGTGAGTAACCAACGCCGGAAGCAATGAAAATCAAGTCGCTGAAAAGCAAGGGAGGTGAAAGATCATTTGGTGCCCTGACACTGACTAGCATATTATGTACCTGTTCCTTTTAAACCCTGTTCTGCGGGGCCATATCACAGCTGTCAAAACAACTGTCCAATCAGCTAAGGAATTTTCCCGATGCCGGTCTCCCTCCTTGCCGTGGTTGGTGAGGCCTGTCTCTCTCCACCTCTGCTGGGTCCAGCCGATCCCGCCACCCCCCAGGGGCAGCTGCCGCGAAGGCAGGCATAACACCTTGGGAGGAAATGAAAAATGAAGTGGGGTTCCCCTGCAACCCAAATCCCTTTCTTATGAAATGAAGGTCATGTTCAGTAAGAAATCCATAAAACTTAACAAAATCAGAGCAGAACAAAAACGACCACTCATTTCTATAAGACAGTCACGCAGCCTTCATTTTAACGGCCTGCATGAAGGTTAGGGTGGAGAAGACATTCAGAAATTCTCACAAAGACGTGAATTTAAATGCGCTGAACACTGGGTGTATCCTGGCTGCCTCTCACCAACACAAACCAGTAGCTCTTGGAGCCATCTGGGAAACACGGCAAGTACAGAGCTGAGCCTGCGGGGTTTTATCAGCATCCCCCTCCCCTGCTCCTACCGCTTCTGAATTTCTGCATCGCTGAAGGAAGAGAGACGCGGGAGGCCGTTCTTCTCGTGGTCGTGCACCACGCTTTCAGGGATCTCTTCGATGGAAGGAAAGGCTCCTGGGAGGCAAACAGGGAGAGGGCGTGTTGGGGATGCTGCCTTTAAAGACAGATGCCCATCTCGAAGCCCGGGCCCGTGTTCCCCATGGGCCATCCCAGTGTCCACGTTTAGGTCTTTGAATTTCAACTGCTTCTGTGGGCAGGATGAGAGTGAAGAAAAGCTTCTGGTGATCCACAGGCCATCTGGAGGAAACAGACGAGTTAGGAGGAGGGAGAGGGAGGGAGTAATGGCTACAGCAACGAGCACCTAAATTGGGTTCAATCTGCCACAAAAGAAAGATCAGTGCCTGCAAGCAGAATGCCCAAAACCTGCAATACTGACTCTGCTCTGGAACTGGGGGAAACTGCCAGAGAACTGGGACCATGAAACCCACAGCTAGCAGAAATAAAGACACAGAGGTAGAGATCAAATGTATGGACACCAAGGGGGAAAGCGGGGGTGGGTGGGATGAACTGGGAGACTGGGATTGACATACAGACACTACTGATACTAGGTATAAAATAGGTAACTAATGAGAACCTGCTGTATAGCACAGGGAACTGTACTCAATGCTCTGCGGTGACCTAAATGGGAAGGAAATTCAAAAAAGAGGGGATACATGTATACGTACAGCTAATCCATTTTGCTGTACAGTAGAAACTAGCACAACATTGTAAAGCAACTGTACTCCAATAAAAGTTAATTTAAAAAAAAAACAACACAAACGCAGCCCCGGCTCGGGCCCATCACTCCCAGCATGACATCACCCAGGCCTAAGAGGTTCCTAGGTAACCTCACAGCATCCCAGACTGGCAGCGGCCAAGAAGTTTGGTGCTGGACAAGTCAGGCTGATGCTGTGCGAGTGATGTGATATATTCGAAGCACGGCTCAGAGGAGGACACGGGGTGTATGAGGAGAAGGCAGGGCAGGGCTGAGAGCCACAGCTCCTGGTCCAGGCTGCAGAGTGGAACCTGGGGGGCCCATCCTAGGGTTGGAGGGTTGGGCAGGTGCTTCACTCTTCTCTCAACTTAGACAAATGGAAATAAAGCATCATTGTGCTGGGGTGCCAGCCAAGCCTCTGCAACCCTTCATGTGCATCTTTGTGTTAACCTTGCCATGTTAAACTCAGAGTCTGGCAGGGAAGGATCTCTGTTGGGCCATCTAAGCAGTGATCACAGCCTCCACAGAATATTTAAGCCCCAATCCAGAACCCTGTGCTAATAAGTACAGTGGACGGATGGCTATAAAACAAGCAAGATGCACATCTGCTCTCAAGGGGCCAACAGAGGAGCCAGCTCTGTGGATCTGCACCTGGACCTGCTCTGGTACCCGTCGCCACGCAGGTGCATCTACGGACAGCTGAAGGCGGCCCCGGGACTGTCCTCCTATCACATGGCTGGCGAACCGCCCCCGTTTCTATCCCGCCCGCATCAACGGGTTCTTCTAGTTCAAAGTCTGATGCGTCACACAGTGGTAGCAAATCTATAAGACTTTTGTACATTTGTTGTTTTAAATCTGATTTGTCAGCTCATTCTCTGATGTCAAAAATCCAACGTACTGCCTGATTACTCAAGAAGTGCACTGATTATAAGCAGAAGATGAGGCGGGTGTCTCCCTTTTCTTCCCCAACGAACCAGGGAAGAGGCCGAATGACACCCAACTCCGACACCACCTCTGAGAGCAGCCGCAGGCCTGGGGGGCCGCGGGACGGAAAGCCCAGGGCCATGTCCCATGGGGCTCCGAGGTCTGATTCCTGATCTAGGAGTCACACAGCTGTCTACTGGAACTATGTTTCTTTTGAAGCTGAATTTAAGACAGAGCCCATAATTATCTTGGGTCAATTCAGAGTAACTGGAGTTTAAACAACCACAGTGTCTGAAAAGAGTGGTGAGGAGTCAGAGCCTGTGGTGCGTGAGGGCACTCTCCAATGATCTAATTTGTTCCCGAGTGAACACCAGATTTCCTGAAGCAGGTGGATTAAACCTCCGAATACGATGCTCAGTGTAAGATGGGGATGACTGCAGGTGGGGAGGCCCCCAGACCCACCAGTGTCTGGGTGTGGGTCCTTCTCAGCACAGGAGGGCAGCCATGAGGACAGCTGCTGGATGGCCCAGTCAGTGTGGAGCCCTGACCTCCCAGGACAGAGTGAGTGACTCGCAAGAATCAATGCAGGGACTCTGAAGAGAGGCAATGGGACCAACCGGGCAGGCAGAGATAGGGGAGCCAGGAGGCCCTGACTGTGGGTGGGGAGCACCTGGGTGAACCCCGCCAACTTCTAACGTGGACACGAACAGGAAAAACGCCGGCACGCTGTCTGTGAGTCACCGGCCCGTCCCGGGCTCCTCTCTCGGCCTCCCTCCCCCACTCCCCCACCCTGGCCCCGGCCACCCTCCCTGCAGACCCTGAGGTCCAGCGAGGACACACCGTTCAGCACGATCAGCACTTTCTTCCACTGGGTGTTGCCCACTTTGGGCGTCTGGCAGAAGAGAATCTCGTGCTTGTCACAGACGAATATCCGGTCGAGGACAAACTTGGAGATGGCGGTGTGTGAGAGGTTCCTCAGGGTGTCCTCCCTGCACACGTTTCTGACAAGCTCCAGGCGTTGCATATAGACCAAGGGTTGAACGAGCCGCCCTCCCGGCAGCATATTCCCGGTAAGCTGCAGAGAACAGAGACAAAACGGGCACAAGGGCTTCATTAGCAGAACGGGGCGTGCCGGGCATTAACTCACAGAGGCCAGAGCCTGGGGGCTGTCGCCACAGAAGCAGCAGGACAGAGGGAGTGAGTCAGCGCTGTGGCCTGGGGTTCAGGCTGCGTGGATACGCTGGACCACAGTGCAGCCAGAGACGGCTGACCCTGTCCCCTCATCCTCAGCTTGGACAAACCGCAGGGATGGGTGGGCTGTCTGCCTGTCGCTGTGCTGAAGGCATAATGGCCCATGATTTCCTGGCAACGGCAGGATATCCTCCGTTCAGCGATCTGAGGGAAGGCCAGCTTCTGCCCCCTCGCTCTCCCTCCATGTAACCTGAGTGTAAGTATGTGGACTGTACCTAAGAACCTGCTGTCTACACAGACAGTGGCTGTTTTGAACATAACCCGCCCGGTACATTGGTGTATCTGGTTTATTAATTTAAGAAAACACCTTAGGTCATTGAGTGTGGGTTTTAAAAAAGCAGGAACCGTTATTCCACTTCCTCAGGGCTGAGCACACAATTACGTTGCTCTGACATGCGGCTTCAGGTGAGGAGAGGGGCTCTGCCTGGCAATCAGGTCAGTGGTACCAGTGGTTTAGCTGCTGTGAGCGGGTGATGGGGCCCATCAGCACTGGTTCTGCTCTAAGGAGTCACGAGACCAGGTGAGAAGATCCATGTGAACTGTGGGGTGAAGGCTGTGATGCCAGAAACCCAGGTGTGTGCTGTCTAGACTTTGCTGGATTCTTTCTGTTGACCTTACGTGCAGCTCATGGGCAGGACGGTCCCTTCTCTGAGTTTAATTCTGGGCTGATAAACATCTTTAGAGCTGGCTCTCCTCACCTCATTTCTTCCTGCACGAGGGCAACCTGAACCTTCCATCCAGACCCGGCACAGGGGCCAGCAGGGGGAGAAGGGGGTCTCAGGAGTGCGCCCCTCACCTTGGCTGGGGGACGATTAGGAATTTACGTGCAAAAGGAGCCTGGGGAGAAATTGGAGTCAGAGTGTCAAGGAAGGTGAGCACGGGGTGAAGGTCAGCGGCCCTGGGCTCTGCTGCTAACTCCCCCGTGACCCTGGATGATTAGCCTTTTTCCTACCCTCAGTTCTCTCATCCACACCACCCGGAGGCTGGACTAGCTGCCCTGTAACTCTAAAGTTCCAGGATTCCCAGGATTCAGGGGCAGAGATCTTTTCCCCTGGTTTCCTCCTGACTCACCCAACATCCCCAATCCAACCATCACAAAGCTCATTCTCGGCTGGGTGGGAACTCAACACAGTCAACACTCCAGAGCACCCACGATGCACAAGGCCCACTGACCGTGACTCCCCCGGCCAGACACTACAAACAAGCGGAAAGGTGCAGAAGCAGCGACTCTAAAGCTGAGCATGACAGTAAGTGGAAACGAGCTGATGAGGGCAGGGAGGGAGGGGAGGCTGCTCCCCATGATGGGGGACCCGCTGGGGCCGGAGGGGTAAGCAGGTGAGAGGGAGACGCCAGGGAAGAATGGGTAGAGGGGTCAGTGCCACGGCCTGGCTGTGCCCACCTTCAGCTCCTCAGGGAAGTGCGTCTCTCTCAGCGACCTCCCCGCATCGGGCGCGGCAGTCAGGAACAGAAACTCCTGCTTGGCGCTGTAGGCTAGGAGACATAGAGAGGTTAAAACGTCTTCCCGTGGAGGGGCAGACACTCCGATCAGTGCCACAGCCCAGAGGCCCCAGGAAGAGACCCGCACAAACACACCCAAGTGATAGCTAACAAGGTGCAAAAGCAATGTGGTGGGGGAGCATCTTTTCAACAAATGGTACCCGAGCAACTGGATGCCCCCAGACAAAGAAGGAGCCTTTCCCTAAACCTCACCCTTTATTCGGGATTAGCACTTAAATGTAAAACAAAAAACTATAAAACTTCTTAAAGAGCATAGGAGTAAATCTTGGAAAAACTGATAAACTGAATCTCATCAAAATTTAAAACCTTTGCTCGGCAAAGACCCTATGACGAGGATGGAAAGACAAGCTACAGACTGGGAGAAACTATCTGCAAACCACACGTCTGACCAAGGACTGGCATATCTAGAATATGTAAAGAGCTCTTAAATCTCAACAGTAAAAAAAAAAAAAAAAAAAAAAAAAAAAAAAAAAAAAAAAAACACACACAAAAAATCCCATTAGAAAATGAGTGAAACAGGAACAGCCATTTCACCAAAAAGGATCTAGAGGTCGAAAAGGAACATATGAGAAGATGTTCAACGTCATTAGTCATCAGGCAAATGCAAATTAAGACCACAGTGAGATACCACTGCACACCTATCAAAATGCCTAAAACAAAAACCAGTGAAAACTCCAAATGCTAGTGAGGAGGCAGAAAAAGGAATCACTAACACACGGTTGGTGGGAATATAAAATGGTACAGCAGCTCTCAGAAACTCTAGAAGGAGCAGTTTCTTCAAAAATTAAGCATTCGCAAAAAAAAAAAAAAAAAAAAAAAAAAAATTAAGCATTCAACTACAATATGACCCAGCAATTGCATTCCTGGGCATTTATCCCAGAGAAATGAAAAATTATGTCACAAAAACCTATACACGAATGTTCACAGCAGTTTTATTTATAATAGCCCCAAACTGAACAACTCAGCTATCCTTCAACAGGTGAATGGTTAATCAAACACTGGTACACCCATACCAGGGAATACTACCCAGCACTAAAAAGGAACAAACTATTGATACACACAATAAATTGGATGCATCTCCAGGTGACCATGTTGAATTTAAAAGGCCAATCCCCAAAGGTCATACACCATATAAAACATCCTTGAAAGGACAAAATGATGGAGAGGAGAACAGATTAGTGGTTGTCAAGGGGGGAGGGGGAGGG